AGAAAGTTTGAAGTGACTTCCATGGGTGTGCTAACTGCATGAGCACCATGCATATTGAACCACTCCATGACGCGTCCAATATACTCACCTTGACTCAACCTTAAAGTCCCCTGAGTCATATCTGTGCTGATTCTCATTCCAAGTATCTGCTTAGCTGCACCCAAATCTTTCATAGCAAACTCTGTTGCCAATTGTTACTTCAACCTGTTGATCTTTCTAACACAGGAACCTACTACAAGCATATCATCTACGTAGAGTAATAAAATAATGTAGCTTGTCCCAAACCTCTTGAAGAAGCAACAGTGATCTCCATTGCACCTTGTGTAACCACTGCCTACCATGAAATCATCAAACTCTATGACCCACTGTCTGAGAGCCTGTTTCAAACCATACAGACTCTTCTTGAGCATGCATACTATCTCTTCCTTGCCTTTCACAATGAAGCCAACAGGTTGCTTCATGTAGATTTCTTCATCCAAGTCCCCGTGAAGAAAAGCAGTTTTAACATCAAATTGCTCAAGGTAGAGATTCTCTGCAGCAACTAAACACAACATCATTCTGATAGTGGCAATTTTCACAACTAGCAAAAATATCTCTGTATAATCAATCCCCTCCTTCTGTTGGAAGCCCTTAACAACCAATCTTCCCTTGTACCTTTTTTTGCCATCACTCTCTTGCTTAAGTCGATAGACCCACTTGTTTAGCAAGGCTTTCTTTCCAGCGGGAAGTTGAGCTAACTGCCAAGTACCGTTGGAATGAAGAAAATCCATTTCATTCTGCATCGTAGTCTTCCACTTAGATTACTAAGGAACCTCCAAAGCCTCATCAAAGCATTCTTGTTCTCCATTGTACGTCAAAAGCAAGTCATCAAGCGAAGAAATATATTTCAGATTTGGCTTCTGTGGTTTGGCTGTCCTACTTAGTTCTTTGACCGTTGAGCTAATACCTCATTCTGGAGTTGATCCATCTAGAACTATCCCCTATGAAATTCTCTCATCTAAAGCTCTCTCCTCTATCTCACTAAACCCCTGCTCAAACCCACTGTCATCTTGAACATCCTGCAGCCAAAAATACTCATATGTATCTCCATCCAAATCAATATTTTCACTAATCCGTTTGCTAATTTTGTCCTTGTACATCACCTTCTGATTGAATACAACGTCTCTGCTTTTGATTACCTTTGTGTTCTTGTCATCCAAGAAACAATAACCAAACTCATCTTCACCGTTCTCAATAAAGGTGCACTTTTGTGACTTAGCATCAAGCTTCTCCATGTCATGATCGCTAATATGCACATAAGAGATACAACCGAAAACTCGTAGATGTGAGAGATTTACCTTTTTATCACTTCAAAAATCTTATGGTATGCCAAAGTTTAACAAAACCGATGACCCAAGATTGATCAAATATGCTGATGTACTAACTGCATCTGCCCAAAACATCTTGCAAAAACTTGCGTGTATCCACATGCTTCTAGCTCGCTTCGTCAAAGTCATGTTCATCCTCTCTGCAATGCCGTTGAGTTATGGAATCTCTGAAGGAGTACTCTCCAAACGAATTTTATTCAAACCACAGAATTTCTTGAACTTCCATAATTCCTATTCGCCTCTATTGTCGGACCTCAACCGTTTCACCTTCAAGTCAGTTTCATTATCAACCATGGCTTTCCACTTCTTGAAGACTTCAAAGACCTTTGACTTTTGCTTCATGAAATATACCCATACCTTTCTCGAATGATCATCGATAAAGGTAATAAAGTAGTAAGAACCGCCAAGAGAACGCACTGTAGCTGGACCCCATACATCTGTATGGACAAGCTCTAGCTTCTAAACCCTACGCGATCTGCCGCCTTTTTGAAAACTGACCCATTTATGCTTCTCGAAGATACAATCTTCACATAGGTTAATATCCACTGACTCTAATTCTGGTAGTTTTCCAATTGCCTGCATAACCTTCATTCTCTTCTCACTCATATGCCCTAGTCTATTGTGCCACAGATTTGAACTCTCCCTTCTGTCTAAAACTAAAACTACAAGTGTGTCGCTACCATGTGAAGTTAAGTAAAGTGTACCAACTTTCTTGCCTTTAGCCGCCACCATGGTATCCTTGGAGACTCTCCATGTGTCTCCAGTGAATGTCGATGTGTAACCTGCTGCTGCAAGCTGTCCAACCGAAACAAGATTCCTCTTCAGATTCGGATCATGCCTGACATCTTTCAAACACCATGTGTATCCATGCGTCGCAATCTAAACATCTCCTCTTCCAACAATACTACACGACTTATCATCGCCCAAGTATACTTTCCCAAAGTCCCTTGCTACATAGTTTTCTAGAACCTCTTTGTTAGTAGTGACGTGGAATGAAGCACCAGAATCAATCACTCATGATTTGGTGTTACTGTTCATAGTAAGAATAAGTGCATCGTGCACAACATGAGCCCCATGTCCATTATTACTCCTCTCCGGTGCTTTGCAGGTTTGTGACATATGGCTTGTCTGACCACAATTTCAACATTTGACTTTAATGGGCCAAACTTGAGATTAAGCCTTATTTTTTTTGCCTCTGCTCTTTGATTTTGACATGTTCATGTTCTAATTCTGACCATCCTTACTTTGGATTTTGCCCTTCTGTTGCTCAAAACTTAGGGCTGATCCTGAAGTTCCTGAACCTGAATGATCGATCGAACCTCTTCTGACATCCTCAGTCAAAATCAAATTAACAACCTCACTTAGTTTCAACTTTTCTTTCTCTGTCGAATTACTAACTACAGTAATTGTACCGTGCCAGCTCTTTGGCACTTGAGACATAATCAAGAAGGCTTGAACCTCGTCATCAAACGTGATAGCGACAGAAGCAAGTTGATCAACAATCGTATTGAACTCACTGAGATGTGTCATAAAGGAAACCTTATAGCGACAGAAGCAAGTTGATCAACAATCGTATTGAACTCACTGAGATGTGTCATAAAGGAAACCTTATAGCGACAGAAGCAAGTTGATCAACAATCGTATTGAACTCACTGAGATTTGTCATAAAGGAAACCTCTTTTGGCATAGACAGGTTGAATAGTACCTTATTCCTAGCAGACGGTTGGTCGTACATCTTTTTCAGCGCTTGCATAAGCCCCACCGTCGTTTCTTCCTTCATATGTTATGGATGATTGATTTGGAAAGGAACAGGCGAATACTTTCAACACCTTTCTATCCAAAACTTCCCAATCCTCATTGGACTCTCCCTTTCTCTTTACCCAGCAACGGCCGATAAAGATCCTTCTGATACAGATAGTACTCTATCTGCGTCCAAAATGCGAAGTCTGACCCATCAACCTTCTCCATCTTATGTTTGCCATCGTCAGAAGCCATAGCTTCCACGAAAACCCTAGCATGTTCGAATCAAACTAAATCCTAACCTGTCGAACAAACCCTACCGCAACCAGCCGCTCTGATACCAGTGGTTAATATTTTCTCTGTAACGCCCTACGGATCTTGGGAACATTAGATCGTCAAACAAACAACAAGCAAATACGTAATAGAATAAACAGAAAGAAAAATACGAGGTTCAAGATATACGTGGAAAACCTCTAACGCGAGAAAAAACCACAGGAGCTGCACCAATCCATTAGGAGCTGCACCAATCCATTATGAATCGATCAAAGAGTACAAGTCTTCTCGCAATCTTTCTAAGATGTGTTTTCTCTCGCCTCTCTCCACTTTGTTTTCTCTGAAAGCGTCTAACCCTAATTATTAACGCAAGGAGGTCCCTCAAAAATATCATTTTTGCTGCAATTCGATATGCTACTAAAGTCGCACACACGTGTCCCTGGGGGCTCCGCCCCTAAACCCTAATTATAAAACACTGCTAAAGGTTGTCTGCACCCCGAAAAGGAGATTGCTAGAGAAGAGTAGAGAGAATTTGACTTCTTGGACTTAGATATGAGTGTTGAGCAATTAGAATTGAAATTATTTGGTCAAGATGATAATGCAAATGGATATGCAATTCAGTAGGTCTTAATACAATAAAATACAATGTGATTTTTGAAGCCATGTAATATACTATATTATACTATTTGTATAATACTCTGGTTCAATACTAACCCAGTCATAGCACTAATATGTGGGTATTAACTACATGACATATTAGCTAATATTTTTCTTCTTTGCAGTGCTTGATTTGGTACTCTCATTATTTTATATCCTGTTGGCTCAGTTCATTTGCGAGAATTACAAACAATTTCTTGTCCTCCCTCAATAAAGGTCCCACCCGCCACATGGCTTAAAATTTCTCTATCACCCAAACCCAACAATCCATAAGTATTTTCCAGTTGGCCCTCCATACGCAAGTCTTGGTGTGCTCCCTCTCCCCTTCTCTTACTCCGTTGCTCAATTGTCTCCCGCGCGGTTTTAATCAATCGGAGACCAGCCTCAGCCGAAGCGGGAGCTGGCTCCAAACGGGTCAACATGTCAAGTTTGGGGTGAACTGTGCTAGTTTTTTCCAACCGAGGATGCGTATTTAGTTACAGCCAGTTGGAGGTAGCAGTGTAATTTAAGCCCGAAACAATGTTACCCCAAATGAGCACTTATCGCGGCTCCTGTATTAATTGGACTGGTTCAGCCAGTCGTATACTTAATTCCCTGGGAAGTTATTATCTCCGTTGGTGTCTCCATCATCTAGATTCAGAGATAAGGTTTGATTTCCACTCGGTTTGTCCGGACCGCGCACTTCAACTCGGTTTGGCTTGTTCTCCTCTGCACTCCTGTACTCTGACGACTGTGCCTATGTTCAGTGAGCAGTTCAGGTCACCTGGCACCCGGGACGCGTCAAACTCAGGGTACGAGCGGTCTGAGAGTATGATTGCATAGCAAGGAGATGAATCGTGAAAAGATTTGCCAAGTCATGCGTGCTCTATTTCCACGTGAGGCAAGTATGCCATGTAGGAATCGCGGGCGGTCCACCTACATTTGCAGAACCCGGTCTGTGATCTATGAGCAAACCGGCCTGTCGCTCCTGGGGGATAGGTAATTTGAAAATGCGGCTCCCTCTCTCGGCGCCGGTGCACGCCATCATTGTGCTCGCAAGCTCGCAGCGCGCGTAACTTCAACTTCTGGATTCCAGAGGTTTGCATGAATTCGTGTCCTGGTCCGGGAAATTGTTTTTCAATTCATGAACGAAGCTTGATCAGTTGGAGTAGAACATTACGGATTAACGAGCGGCTGCCGCACGTACCGTAATGTGTTTCCGAGCCTCATACAGGACGTGGATGTCAAATAAATCGACTCTCGAGCTCAAACGTCGGAAGCTTCGAAGGTGTTCGCAGAGGAGTTGTGATGCCACACGATCAATTTTTCGACGAGCATGCCCCTCCTTTAATAGTGAATTGAAGCACGAGGAGGGTTGGGGAATTCGGTGTCAGACGGAACGGATCGACTATTGTTACCCCGGAGGGAGTGCAGGTCCCTGCGTTTTTTTGGTGTATCTCCTGGAGTCCGACGAGCAGCGAGCATAGATTGACTCGGGGAGGTGTGCCAAGATGGGTGTTGGATCGGAGGCCGATTTAGGTGTTGAGTCGTCTGTGAGAAGGGCCATCGGTCGCAGCAGAAGAGATAGAAATGATGGCTGCTATCACTCACCACCGTCCAACTCGGTTTGCTCGTTGGACAAGAATGAAACGGGCAAAAATGTGCAGATTTGCCAGAAGACGGAGAAGGTTCTCAGGAGATGCGCTGGAAGGTACAGATTCAAGTCTCGTAAAAGTCGAATTAATTTTTTCTTTGGTACCTGTGGATCGTCGGAATGCAGTCCTTGCTTCCGAAGTTGAGACATTCTGCTGTTTCTGCTCGTCTGTGTTCTTGGGTGGTTTTGATCAAATGACCCTGAATGTGGAAAATTGCATATTCAGTCAGTTTTTTCTCCATCATCTGAGTTGTGAATGTTGAATGGAGAGGAATGTGAGGATGGTACCAACAGTGCAGATTTCATCAGATGAGGTATGTGTATATTTAGGGTATAGGGTATAGCTGAATTCAAGAAATGGTATTATGGATAATTGAAAAAATTACAAGTGGAAATTTTTCCATGACTACTAATTTGCAGGATTCAATATTTTATTGTGATTTTGCTACCTAAAGCGATTGGGACAGGGAAAGGCTAAATGCTGAGGGATTGCTTCGATGCTTATCTGAGGAGTATGTTGAAGAGGAGAAGCAAAGAAGGTAAAGTTCAGGTGATTCTCGCTAGTTTTGGTTTTTGTCGAGGCTTTCTTCCGTCTTCATAATTGGATCTTCGTTATGAAACTATGCGCTGGTGGATCTCAGGGGTTTGCTGAAGAGATGGCCTGAAGCTCCCTGCACTGAAGACTCAGTTTCCTCTCCAAATGCCGAGAGGTATTTACGTATGGTGTATGCTGTAAGCATAATTTCCTATTAGAGATCATGGCGATTGCGATGTATTATTTCCAAGCTATTAGCCACTTGCTACTAGAGGTTGTTTTTTTGAATTCGTGACCTTTCATTTTATTCAGGTATATACCGGAGGTCCTCCTTCGTGATGACGACGAAGATGTAATGTTTCTCTATCCTTGTTGGCTTTTGTTAATATGTTTGCCTGTAAATTCTTGGTAAGCTATTGAGTCTGTTTTGATATTTTCTGCGTTCCCAATGGAAGACGAATGACGTCAGTCGATATTAAAGCTATTGTCAACCTTAGAAATGTTAGGTAAACTGCTGATGAGAAGAAAGCATAGAACCCTGTCTCTCTTTCCATCTCCGGATTGCTTGTTCTTCTTTACTAGCGTAGCGTAGTAAGTTACTTTAGATACATATGCAAGTATTGGATTACTTCACTTCTCATCTTTGTCTTTTGCTCTGAAGTGTCACACCATGTTGTAGCTAACAACATTTCCGACCTACATCCTTTGTTTTAGATTTTCAGATTTTGGTTTGGTTTGTGTGTAGGCAGTCATTTCATTTCCTTCAAACTTTTATACGAAGGTGTGTGAACGAGCTCCGTCATGGTGGTAAAGTGGATCAGGTTGTACATGATGGTCAACATGAAATTGCAGAATCTTTATTGAGACTGTCAGACCAGGGAGTTATTGAAGCCATCCCTGGTCTTCTTGAAAAAGTTGAAAGGAAGGCATTGCTGGCTATATATTCCATTGTCTCCGGGAAGAACGGCGATACGAGGAATCGAGCATATTTGGTGGACAGAGTCAGTAAGATTTTCAATAATGTTTCTCCTCAACAAACGCAGACAGATCGTATGCAAGATGTTGTGACTATTATGAGGTCTCCAGGCTCATACAAAAAAGTGGAATCCATAAAATTTGAGGTGGAGGCGTTCTTTCCAGTAGAAGCTGCCCACTCCGCGCTTTTGCAACTAGAGCAGCTGCCTCTTACTGGCCTCCACGTCATGCTCGCTACAATCAAAGGAAGATTACCAGGAAAAGTTGGTCAGCTTAAAATGGGCGCGAACAAGGATCGTCTAGCATCTAGGATAAGGAAAGCAGCACATCGCCATCTTGAAGGATTAGAGAACGAGAATGAATTGCCTGAACGCCTACGGCAATCTCTTATAGTGATGAGCCTCTCAGCTAGATACGCCTTTGGAAATGATGGAAAACTTATCGACTTTCTTGGTCCAGTCTCTATGGAAAAGCAATCTCTTCATTATAAGTTACTGTCTGCACTTTCAGATATAAATTATGTGAAGCATGAGAATTTGCTGCTTATTTACAAGGAAATAGAGGGTAGACTCGAAAGTTCTAGTAAAACAAGAACTAAAACGATACGGAATAAGATAAATAGGATTTTTCTTGACTGTCTTCTCAACAGTGAGATTCGACCTGTTCCGGAGAATGTTATGAGTGCTGCGGGAAAGCTGAAAGTTATGATGAGGCAGAAGATCGCCGTGAATACCAAATCTAGTGGTTTGTATGAGAAGAAAGATCTTCGGGAGAGCATGCATGTTGAGCTTGAAGCAGTTTTAAGATTGAGCAGTCATCTACAGCAGATAGCCTACAATGTGAGAGAGTTTTCTGGAGAGGGCGTTTTTCCTACCTCTGAAAGTGAAAAAGAGCTCAGGAAGATGGATATTGACCAAAGTTATGTGGAGAAAGGCCAAATGCAACAAAGATCAGCTGAGGGTGGGACGCCTTCATTGCAAGACGCAGGGGAGTTACAAAGTGTTGTTCCGACATCTGAAAATAACTTAGATGACGAATTGGAGGCAGCCTTGAGCAAGCAGATACAGGTATATTCTTTCAATCAGACACTTGATTCCCTGAATGAGGAAGGCCTGGAGAGGACGATTGAATCGGAAAAGAACTGTCAACACGAAGCTGTATCTCCAGAGGAGGCCACGGCACTTAAAGATGTTACACGTATAGGTGACGAAGCAGCTGGAGTTGGTTACACCCTCGTCGGTTGTGCCCTGGAAGAGATGTCCAGGTTAAGTGGCCAGAGCTTTATCGGTTCAGTGAGGAGTTACCTTAGGTGTGGAGTAAAACGCCCGTTTCAAGAATCAGGTATGCTAGTCATAAACTTGTGATGTTTAAAGAGATAGTTTTGGGAAGACAACTTTTGGAAATCAAAACTAGACCTCTAAGCTGGGTAGCTCCATCTCGGAGTACATACAGTGCTATGTGTAAGTTTAGGAGGCACTTATATCTATTTGACTCTGGTTGGTATCGTTGTCGTACAGAACCGGAAGTCGAACAAGACCAGGTTTCCATCATTTTGAGTTTAGCTCAATTGGACTCCAGAATCTCCAGCAGGTTTCTCTCTGGCGGAAGACCTGTAATATTTGAGTCTTTACTTTGTAATTTAGTTTACTGAAAACTACCAACAAGATCGTTCCGTGCGGTTGTATGTAAAAGCAGTGTATTGATGTGTTACTTTATGTGGTGCCTCACAGGACTATGGACCGTGTTAGACGTCGCCTTGTCAGGTGATCATCTGAAGAACCTGGGAGTTGTTCTATTTACGGTGGATATTCTTTCACAATTTTTCTCTACCAAGAGAAAACTTAAGGAGCCCATGGTATCTGTCACGCACATCACACGAGTGGAATTCGTGTGACGGGGATTCGATGCGATGTGAAGTTTCGAATGTGCAAATGGTCTGGTCATCCTACACGAGTTTTCATTCAAGGTATTGTAAAATCTCTTCTTGGCACTTTCAAGCTTGCCAACTGGTTTCCTATCAGTCTTACTTGATCAGCAAATTCTGATCAGATAATTTACGATACGTAGTAAAGAACAGCAGAGCCGTGTGCTGAACTCGCGTAAGTATTGGTTTCTATCCTGCACTACTGTTCGTGAATGAAAAGAAAGTCATTGACAGGAACTCAATAGTTCTTAGTAAGTGCGGGTTTGATACCAATTGCATGAAAGGCAAATAGAATGGATAGTTCCTCGATATTGGTTAGTGTGAGTATTTGTGCCTCTTGTATTACAATGAGCCAACATATGCTATTACGAACTAACTTAGATCAGATTTATTTTGCAGCCCAACCCTATCAAGAAGGAGATCAGTTTCTACTCCATGAATTGGCTATTTATTGAAGGAGTGGATTTTCTTTGGAAAAAACCATGGCGAAGGGTTTGCCACCTGCTGGTTTGCAAAAACCTGCAGGTTTTTGCAAGGGACATCGTCAATCAGTGGAGGAAAGCTTTCATGATGTACGGTAGCTGGGGTTCCACCCTAGCTAGGTTCGAAGGTTCTGTTTTGTATTTTCACTCCATCCCGGACGTATCAAGGTGTAGTTCTTCACCCGAGTTTTCTGCAGCAAATCACTAGTCTATTTATTGATAAACTTGCGGTTCGAAGGGTCATTTCAAGAAGCATTTCATTTGTTGGGCCTTGCTCAGATATTCAAGTTTCGTGCTCTAAATGTGACTTTTACCCTTGACAGTCAAGCTACCTAACTTTTTTCATTCTCTTATGAAGTTTCTGCTCTGCTCTTTTGTCAGGTTTTGTGGTTCTGTTCATCATATTGATATCCAACGGGTCTGGTCAATCAAGAAAGAGACATCCGTCACCCGGAGGGCATGAAGTAGGAGTATCCCTTCGTTTAGGATGACAGTAGCCCTGGGGGCCAAGGTCTGCTCCGAAACTCTTTTATTAGATTTTAACAGCAGTATGCTGGCGGTGAGCTTCTTTGCTAATCGTTTCGGAAAGTGATTGCTCTCCGAAGGGGCTGTTATGATCAATATCTGTTTTCAAGACATTCATCAGTTTTGAAGCAAAGGTGATGATCAGTCAGGCCAAGGAAAATATCGGCGGTAGTTTCTCTTTAAGCAAGCCAAATTATTGGCGCTACTTAGTTTCCTTCGTGTAGACCAACTATTTTGAACGGCTCGAGGATGTTCCAAACAGTGTGCGTGCACTCTGCGACACGAAAGTGTTTTTTTCAATCACATTGCCTGACTATGTTAAGTGGTGAAGTGTCAGTGGAGTTCAGACTGCTTTGGAGTCTCTTTTGCATGCTGGGCACTCAACCTACTGCATCTCTGTCTATGTACGTCGTGCCAAGAGACCTACGATGCCCGTGAAGTACATATTTTACGCACACCGTGTCTCGTTGACAGCGCGCACGAAGTGGAAAGCTGCTCGCCTACGTATCAATAGATTCCTCTGTTGAACAGTGGATTCGAAAGCTTTTTTCAATCGACTCCGCAAATCCGTAAACTATAAAAGGGCATAGCCTGAAAATATAGCTCAGCTTTCATCCATGGATCTGCGCTTTGAAAGCTGTCGGCTTTTGAGGTCACGCGATGGATGCAGACAGATTTTCGTGACTCGACTCAATTCCTAATCTTGACAATCTGCTGTTTGAAGAAGAGACACCCAGACCAGATTCAGCAAAATGGGTAGACTTCGAACCAAACAGAAGTTTAAGCAAGAGTGGAAAGGCTTGGGAGGTGTTATGGATGGAATCATACCGTCAATTTTGACCCAAACTGATGATTATTATAAACTTGTGTGCGAAAAAACTAGACTTACAGAGAAAAAAAACCATAGACAAAGTCAACATTTAGAAATATGTGCTTTAGCTCAGTGACGAAAAATAACACAAGTTTATTTTATTGAAAATCCTGATTGTGTCACAAATAGTTTTGCCTACCTCTCTTATATAGCGCAGGCTAACTAGTCTAACTAATCATAGTCACATTTACTAGAAGTAATTAGAATCTAGTTAAATCCTAAAACTAATTTGGCATCTCAACTAAAGTTTTGATCTCTAACTTTTAGAAATGAAACAAAACAAAAACATCATCAAACAAAAACTTCGACATCACCCTTTTTTCTAATCCAGTATATATTATAGTTTTTTATCTACGCCACATGCACATTGTCAATTTCTTAATTGTACTTCATACAGACGAATTTATTTTTAAATTATTGGATCTATACGTAATATTTGACATATCATACTAGAGTACTAATCATCTAATCAACTATCTATTTTGCTGAAGATTCATCTCTGAGATGTATGCAAAGTGTATGGATGAGAGATTTTTTATGCTTATAGTAATTATTATGCTTGTACATATAGAAGATTTGTTCTTCAAGTCACCGATAGAGTTCATGTAAATTTCTTCCTTGCACATTCATTAAACTACATTCTAACTTGATTGACTAATACCCTAATTTTTATTTTTTAAGATAATTCTTTATATTTAGGCATTCCTTCTAATATATCTTGTCATTTTTGTCTATGATATATGTAATTTTGTATTTGTAAGAAATTATGCATTTAGATCTTGATTTGAACATGCAAATGTTTAGATGTATCTGAATCTCACACTAGCTAAGTTTGGCTGAATTTGAAAATTGAAATATGTCTTGGTCTCATTCACACATTACATCCTCGTTAGAAAAGTTAGAACAAGCTGCCATTTTAGATGTTATAGATTTCCATATAATTTATTGAAAGTTAGAATTGATCTCATTAAGTGTGTGGTGTTTAGTAAAACACAAAATAATGTAAATCTTATGTTGAGAAAATATATTTTGCAATTAATATAGGTTAAGTTAGACATGAAATCAGTCTCGGAAGACAAACTCACTGCTGCAGATGTTAGAAATTGGAATCATTCACGTGCCAAAAGTTTGACCGGGTGATATCAATCTTTTTGGAAGGACTACAAGTGGTATACAGAGTTAAACCTCCCAATAGTGACACATAACCGTTCTAGGGTTTTATGTCACTATTCGGAGGTGTCACTCACAAGAGGATATCTAATCTTTTCCCCGCGTTATTTGCGTTCGGTGGGCGCTTCTTTCTTTCTCCTGCAATCTGTCATAGTGCCTTCGGGGGCGTTTCTTTCTCTCTCGCTACAATCTGTCATAGTTGTTATGCATTAGGTAGTCATTTCTCTCTCAACGCAATCCGTATTTGTTTTGAGGGAGTTTTTTTTCTCTCTTAATCTACACCCGTTTTTATTCACACATGTCTAAACGCAAGCGTTGTTTGGACGTGAAGACGAAGTTGGAAATTTTGGAAAATTTGAGTCAGCCCGGAGCCACCCATGAAAATTCGAAAATTGAAATCTTTCGACTTGTTTTCCTCCTCATGGATTTGGCTCCATCCTGAACAACTTGAAAAGGCGTGAAAATATCCCATTGGCAGAACCGACCTGTTCTTCTTTCCACTCGATTTGTCTCAATTTCCTTCCAGCACTCTTCCCACAAGGGTTTAAACATCGCACAACCAAATTGCAACGAGTGAGGAGAGACAGACGTTTGATATCGTCGATGTCTTCGCTCACATCATTTGATCAATGACACGGATTCAAGGTCTGAGAATATTGTAACCACTGAGAAGAATCGGGATAGACCAATCAGCAAGCTCCAAAAGTAGACTTTTAACTCTGAACAAAGACTTTTGGTAATTATGATAGCTATTAAAGGTCGACATAATCACTCTTGAAAAATCTAATGACACTATTAACAATAGTGACGTACTGTTATTATTGGATAAAATTACCCGTTAGAAACTAATGGTTCTTCACTTTCATGTCACTAATGGGAGGATGTCACTCACAAGAGGTGACACTATCGGGAGGTTTAACTCTGTAGCACCTAGCAAGCTCTTCATGTACAGGTCTCTGCAGATATATCATCTTGATTATTCTAGCATAGTGACTATGTAGATAGACTTTCACAAGTGCAGGAGTAGATTGCAACAATTTACGTAGCACTTTGTTTGGAAAACATGTATACAGTTACTAAAAACAGCATTAGATGGTGCATTAAAGGAGTGCAATATGATTAGGTGAGGTTAATGTGAATGCTCTTTTAATAGAGTTAATAGAATATTAAGAGAGCTGGAGCTAGCTAGTAAAGATATATTAGACAAAATTAAACATTGCGACTTCTTGGTTTGTAGACCCATCTATCCAGTAGTTTCATCACTCCACTACTTGATGGGGGAGTTCCCCTCATTTTTGCTGTTTTATTGGGTTTCACTCCTTTGCACCTATTCACTAAAGTTTGCATGTGTCAGCATTTGTCATGAAAGCAGTGATAATTGAGATTACTGTCGTTGTCTGGTCGGGCCATCTATGCGTCATATCTTAGGGATCTAGTATACAACTTTGTTGAAAGCCGATTGGGTAATCTAAGCTCCGTGTTTCAGGTTCTTTTGAGCAACGTGTAAAATCTGTTCTTCTCTTTTCAGAACATCTAGGACATGACACTGAATTACGAATACGTACAGTTCGACCACAGTCTACGTAAACAGCGGAAGATCCGGCAACTGTTCGAGGGGGGTGGGAACTGTGCTGCATCATCGACCATGGTTCGCCGAGCCGAAATCCCGAACCAACAGTGAGCAGATGGTACAACGCAGTCCGGTGCAGTCCAATCAGCGCGACCAGCAACGGCAGCCGCGGCGGCATGAGGGATGAGGGGACCGATCGAACGTGAGTTGTTGGCCCCTTATGACTAATTCTCGATGCGTATCGTGGGCTTGTTGAAGCGAACGTGCAGCAATAGCACGAACGGGGTCGGTCCAAATTTTGATTGTGCCCGTTCTCCGATTAAGAACATCGTCTAATGCTCTGCACCTTCTGCACGACATACACATCGGCGGTGGGTGTGTTTCTGCCTTTGCTCGTCCTCTCGAAAATTATGGCGGGGTCGGCTGAGAGATTGTTCCCTCTGGTACTCATGCTCGCCCTTCGCAGACTCTTTCTTTTCTCCTCGACTTGGACGCCACGGGTGGGGCGGGGCTTTATAATCTCCTTGACCTTCACGGTCGGTTCTTTCTTGCCTTGGCTTAGCATGACATATTCACCGAAAGGGTCATATTCGGATTCGCCACGCTCCCTGCAGGTCACGGACAGCTTGCTACAACGAAGCTCATACGATGAGTGAGCGAATTTGTCGTGGGTGATAATTAAAGGCGAAAAGAATGCAGCAAACGAGCGAGCGAGCGATCACGGGATTGGATTGGGTAAGGGTTAACTTCATCGTCCTCTTGGAAGCCCGAGAGTCCAGACACGACAAACCTCCTCTCCATTCTTCCTCTCTGCTGCTGCCAACTACCGTCGGACGGTTCGGCAGATCACTGGAGGCCTGAACAGATGTGTAGAAAAATCTTCCGTTGGCGAAGAATTCCCAGGGCTAATAAAAGAAAAGATGATGTTGTCGCTGAAAAAAAGGTTCACGAACCGCACGCTCGGCTGTGCTGCCAAAAGGGAAACAGTGGAGTGGACAAGACAAGAAGACCCACGTCAAACAAAACCTCGAGGCAGTGCATCGAAAATGTCCAGTCCACTGGATCCGATCGGCCGATGCTTACCACCACCTCAGTGTTCGAGTGAGACGAAGATCCAGCTCCTGATCTAGACTAGCTAGCTTTGACTTTGGCGTTCTTCCGGGGCTTTAGGAGTTGCATGTTTGGATTGAGTTTCGGTCAATAACCTCACGCGAGAGACACAACGGTGAAAGAGACTCTGGTCATCGCTTTCCCATCATCATATTCAGTTCATCTGACCAAAGGATGTTATGACTAACAACACTCATCATGAGTTGAAAAGGGAGGGAGAGAGAGAGATTGTTGTGGAGTGAATCCCGGATCTTGCCCTCCATTATACAAAACAGGGAGTACAAAGTTCTCATTGCCACATTATAAAGTTACCGAACCATGTTAAACACGAGCACCTCGATGAAGAAACAACTTCAGGAGATTTAAGCCCGCGATGGGGAATGTTTCGATTCCCGCCTTTCTCATCACTTCTCGTGTCCCAAGGGCGATGAGAGGCGAGGGGTTTCTCGAGAAATGATCATTCTCATCATTGATCTTGATCTAGTTCGGCAACTTTACATGGGATGATGAAACCGATAACATCCATATTCTGGTTCTACTTTCATCTCCTCAGGTGAACTGCTCATCCCAAGACAATACTTCACTCCCGTAGGAGAGAACGGGGAAGACTTTGTTTGAATTGCATCGAAATGTATCAACAATGAATCCATTTAGTTACGGGAGAAATAAAGGCATAAGGTCAACTGCCCTATCACAGGTCAAGATTATGAATGTCACTTTTGTTGCAGCTTCTGCCTTTATTTGCAAACGCAAGTGGCTGTCAGCTCATGAGTAAAGACTGGACACGAATATCAAGTCAAGAAACACCGACTGGTTCCTCCAACTCCACGAAGAAAAAAAACTCACACTCACAATGCAGTCAAATTGTGTGCTTTCAAATATTGAGGTGATGAAGAAGATTATTCACCTCCCTGAGAATAAAGACCAATGATAAGTTTTAACTCGAGGGTAACTGGGACCAAAAAAATTGCTCGACAGGAGCACTCTACTGATAAGATGTACAACCCATCGCTGTTAACAGAGACTAATCAGTCTACCGATCATCTATCCCCACTGACTTTTATACTAGCTACTGAAGTTCACAAAAAGGACAGTCCTGAAAGCAATCTGATCTGGAGCAACCACTTTACCCTTAGGACAAATGGGCTGTCTATGACTCAAAATGGTGGGTTGGTGTCACAGGGAATAAGAGTTTGAGAGCCTTTTGGCCCACAGCTGTTCCGCATCTTCCATCCTGTATTTGTGCTCAATATTGAATTTGTTCAGCGTTTCTCACTTTGAGAAGTGGAACTGTGCTTCCCAATAAAGTTGACACTCACCTTCCTTTTCCCGTATCATTACTCTCCTGTGTTACACCGTTCATTGATTTCCTTGGCTGAACCACAGAACTACAAAGCCCATCTTCTTTTTCTCTTTCAATCAAATATAGTCGATCCCAGTCATGCCTTTTCTTTCTTTAAGTTCGAAATAGTGTCCCTTAACCTATCTTTAGTTTGTCAAAATATTATCCAATTGATACAAATATAGTTGGAAATATTCTCAATGTAATATGTTTCTCACAGACACGGTGGCAATCTGTACAACATGGTTAGCTTTTACAGAACATGGAGTTCAAGCTACAACCTTGTGACGTTTCTTGTGATAAGTGGTAAATGGTAAAAGATCAAGCCCGGGGTCCCAAAGGGTCAAAAGGCTGAAAAACACAATTGCTTTAAGATTGTTAAAACCGTACAGAAATGAATATTGGGCTGAAAATATGATTGGGAAGTATTACCACCCTTTGCTTTTTCAGTTGAAAAAGTTTGTTGTAAACATTGCTCCTCGTCCGCAAGTAAGACTATTGCTGACGCTCGTATGATGTGCAGAAGCGAGCTCTTTAGCATCACGCCCCCTTCCACCTCGTTTCTCAAATGCAGAATGAAGTAAAATAAAGCTGGAGTATAGTTTCCAAGACATGTTATAAGCATCGCGTTCCAGTCCTTCTACCGCACTCTCCAGACCTCCAGGCACGCAGACGGCGTCGAAAAAGAATGAATCCTAGAAAGAGAAGAGAGATTCCTCAAGACAGGATGCTACTGAGCCGAAGTTGGCGAGCGTCATAAGTTGAAATCGATACTCTTTATAGGACAGAAGTGCTGCATCTCCGGGTACAGTACATTAGACAGTCCTCATCTCGTAGTTAAGTCATCGGATTGTGTCTTGCAAACGTGATTACTGCAATATTTCGCGTTTGCTGTGTCTTACCACCAAAACTTCCCAACAACCGACGTGCAATCGTTTCACAACGCACAAGCTTCAAATCCCTTCTCTGACGTTTGCGTTGATCGAACACATCACCCTGAATTCAAACCAGACCGCAATTGATGAAACAGATTACGTGACGTTCAATTGAGTGAGTCGTCGAGTGCAAGAGGAGAAGAGGAAGATTCTTCCATACGAGAAGATATGTGCTATTGAATAGCAGCCTGGCCCTGTAGAGTGCGCGACGACTTTTACTCTGCTACAAAACTGCTGCAATAAAGAAGGATGCAGTGGAGCACAACTCGAAGCTTGTAGGCATGAATGGTGGAAACAAATCTGCAAGAAACCTAAATGGTCTTCGGAGAATCTTGGCCTCCTATTATTCCACATTTGACCAGTCTTCCGCCTTTGCATCAACACTTTTTACCGTTTGCTCTCTTCATGTGACGCGGATGTGGCCAGTCTGTGTTTAAACTTCAACGTTCGGATATATTCCTTACTATACCAAGCGAGATCGACTTTTTCCCCTATCCGCAGCAGTTCTTGCTGATCTTAAATTCTCGTCAGCAGAGGTTTTCATTTACCCTCTCCACGTCGTCCCTTCGCACACCATGAGAACAATGCCAAATTAATAAGCTTCGTTCTTTTCTCGCGTACCTTTTGAACATATAGATGTGATGTGACCACCCTTGCTCACATGTCTTGATACCAGATTGATCCAGCTTGGATTAGCTACAAGTTGGTTTTCGGGTTTTGCGATTATGTGCCATATAACTGAATCATGCACAAAAGATATGAAGAGGTTTAAATATTGTTCCTTCACATCCCTCCCTAGAGCTCACAGAACTGTTTTTTGTATTTTTAACCTTGTTCCCCCTAAATCATTTGCTCTCTTCGTAATTTATTTGGAAAACCATGTTAGTGTAGTAACTACATTCACCAAAGTCACTTGGACATTCTTCTAACAATTTGGCTTTTTTTAATGAGAAAGTTTGAAAAATGAATCCGACGAAGTTATGGTATCATATATGTAGAGAATAATCGATTATGATCTAGAGGCCATTCCAAACCCACAATCATGAATGATATAATGTAAAGTGAAGTTTGAATATATTTTGAGCTTTGTAATATTTAAGCTTATATTTTTATGGTTATAGATGCAATTTTTTATTTTGCCCACTAAATTAACATGCTGATATATTTATTTATATATTTATATGAGAGGGATAATATACATATATCTTTGTGTCAATTATGTACTTAAAGTCAAACTTTTCCTCATATTAGACTCTGAAAACATAACAACTAGCTATATTTTGATTCAAAATATCATTCTATGAATCATCTTCAGATATGAAAACAATCTCATTACATAGTAACTAATTTAATATGAACTGTATCAACTATTAAATTTTATAGTACAAGAGATTCACGTTTCTTAAAATCAGTTTTATAATAATTTTGATCAATAAGATCATGAATTGCAACTATAATAAAAAATCTTGCAATTCAATCTATTAGAATACATATAAATACTATGATAACAAAAATTCAATTCATTTTAATGTTTATGATCAATCAAGGTAAATGGTAACAATAAAGTTCAAATACTTTGTGATTGTTCACATTAAAATGAAGATAATTTATGCAAAAAAATTTGCACATGCATATCTTAACATAGCATATTACTGATGTCATTGACAAATCACAAAATTTGCATACATCACAAGCGCATACTGGAACTTCAATATGATACTTTAATTATTGTGAAATCAAGTCTGGATATAATTATTTTGACATTACATGTATATTTTGAGATTAAAATCAAAAAATGTGATGATACAAAATTATATATGACTATAATTTAGACATAATATTTCCTTGTAGGTGAAATGGGAATGGCTAGTTATCCCTCAGCTCACATGTTGTGCACTATTACTTTTTTTACGAAGAGCATATCACATAGCTCTAGCAAACATAGAGATAGCTTTGACCAATCACAAAGCTCTGTTCTGTATGTTATAGTAAATTGAGGGAAAATTAGCCCAAACTGAGTGATAACTAATCACTAACTATATTTATTGCATTGATTGAGGTTATCAAAGTAGTTTAACATATATTATCATGTAGTTATCAATTTTTTAATATCAACTTTGCATACAAAACCAACGTGAAAGGATAATTTATGGAAAATTTGAATAAACTAAGATTTAAATAATCCTCGCATATGAGCAAAATAAACTGTCTAAACGCATGTGAACTCAATTTTTTTCCAATTGTATGAATTTGACATCTACTTCAAATTTCATACATGATAATTTCTGTGATTCATGTGCATCTAAGTTAATAAATTAATTTAAATTTAATTTTTAAAATAAAATCTCATTAATATTATTCTATATTCAATATTTTGTATTGAAATTTAATTTTTTTACATTATTATTGGTAAATCTCATTTGCATCGCAATTTATTGATCTAATTTTTATATAAGGCTTTGCTCAATCCTGACAGTGCTTTAATAAAATTTAATGTTAATTACATAAACAATTATCTCAACATTCACATTTTTTATTAGAAATAGATCTTGAGAATAATTTTTTATTTAAAATTTGCTTCACAGCTCACCATTGTGATTTTTCTTCTCCACTTGAAAAATAACTTCATGAATGTTACTCAAGTCTAAATACTTTATGTTGGAATATTTTTTTTCAAGTGTATGGCTGTTATTGACATCATATCAAATTTTTTGTTGCATTTGTATCACTTGATTATGACATTTATTCAAGTGATTTATTATGTGAATATTTATCTGCATCAAATCTCACATCCAACTTTTGCTATTGCTAAATTTGATATTTTTTTATTCAATTGGTCTAATGTAGATGCCATATTCATCTTACCTGATTCCTTCATATCTTTTGATTTGTGGTAACAGGTTATCATCATTCATATCAACCTAAATTACTTATACTTTCAATACATTGACATGAATATGCTTACTATTTCTCGTTAAAGATGATTATCAAAACAATGGCAAATCATTTGAGCATATATAAAACTCGTAATCAATTATCAAGTATCAACATGATACAAACTTCAATCTAATTCAACAGATTATATGAACGATTCATTGTTGATCTTACAAGAACACAGATATTTTAAGTCATGAGTCTCCATAATCAAATTATTCCATATGTTTGTCGAAAGCATTTGTGTTCTATATACCATGCATCTATCATAATCATGTGTTGTAGGTTGATGACCTGAAGTTGATGGTTCAATTAAATGTTCACTTAACCAAGCAAATATCACTCTCTCCTTATCTTTTGCATTTTGATTTATACAATCCAAATGTTCACAAATCAAATCCCCCTGAAGTCAAACTCTATCTCTTAAATCTTAGCAAATTTAGTGTAAATAGTGCTAACTGCTGAGTATATTCAGTATTGCCTCTAACTGTTAAATTTGATAGTGAGTCGAATGTTCCTACATAGCTTATGACAAAGATCGAGATAATGAGTCCATAAAAGATGAATTCATCGGTAGTACCATTGAATTTAGTGGCATTTCCAGTTCCAGCTGGTAGCTTATGCAACGAGTGCGAGGAAGCAATGGTTTACTTTGAGGGGGAAGAAGGTTCGTCGTCGTCTTGACAGTGTGAAAGGAAGTCTATTTGTTGCAAGCCATTGAAAAGAATCAAGACTGGGTTGTTCTATTAACGTTATGGAGAGATGTCACTTCTTGATGAAGAGTCACATACACACGAACAAGGATTTAGACAGGACACAGATTCTAGCATTGAAGGCGGACCCTTTTACAATTCTGTACTGGAGACACATACCACGAGATCTTTTGCATGCGCAAGTTTTTCCTTGATATCGGCAGATTCTCTCGTTCTGCCGGCTTTGCGGAGGATTGGGAGGAGAAAGATCCCAAGATACGAACAACCCACGTACAGTAATCCCTCACATCACGATTTGAGCCTTGCACCAGATCCCAAGCACGGCAATACCAATCACGAGCCATGCAACAGTGGGCGAAATGTAAAGAATCCCGCGGCTACATATGATGTGATTGTCTCATCTCAACAGAAATGTCATAACACCAGTGCTCAACCCACATCTACTTCTGTGCCGTCTTGTTTCTTTCTTGTCCTTTCAGATTTAGTCTTTAGCAACTCTGGGCTTCGTGGACGCTCGTTCTTTCGCTCATTCACGCATCACCAGGAACTCATTCTGACTGGAAATGAAAACATTTTACAAGGAAGGAACTGCTTAAATACTATTAGAATGGGAATACCCTTCAAGTTGTATATGGATGGAACCAAACGAGTAACACGGATCCATGCCCCAATACCATGACCCTTGGTAATGTTTCATATCAAGTACAACTTGCATTACCAATTTTTTCAAGTTACTCGATATCCAAACAACAAGAAAATAATCATTAAATAGATAGCACTAGCTATTGCTATTTGTATAGCAATATGCTATCTATATGTTCTCTTCATGGAGACATGGTTAGGTTAGAAGAATTTGACGTATTGTGCTTTCCTTTCTCACCTTTTGGTGCACACAACTTTCTCCAAATTTCTGCATTTTGAAATGATTTCTGTCCGGTGGTTTTCTGTCTGCTCATCGGCTTTATGCTTTCAGGAAGAAAGTAGAAGCAAACGACTTCAGGAATAAATTTTCTTCTACTGAATCTAGATCGGCGACTAGCTTCGCCTTTGTAAAGCTAGAAGTTACTATTGAAGAATATCCTTTTCTACATATGAATGTCATGACATAGATTGGGATAGATTGAGAATGCAATGCAGGAAAGGCTATTTTCCATTGTCCATCCTTTTCTCCATCTGACTCCCGTGCCAATCAGACGATCATTTTGTAACCGTTTCGGACTGCAACAGATGAAGAGAATGGAAACTAACTACGATGAGTGCTTCGGAAACTCAAACTGCTGTCGCCGAGAAGTAGGGTTGCATCGTGTGTTTGGAAGACGAAATCATTCTCACTCACGACATGTTAAAAGGTCAAAAGCTGCACATGGCACATTCTTCGCCTCCATGATAGCAGCATGCAAAGTCAAGAGGAATATTTCAGATCCTCAAATCCACAGTCCAGACGATACCATGAACCATGCATGTAACCACGTTGGATCTCGTAAGGAACGAAACCTCGGATGCTTAGTCCAAGTATTTTTTTAAGGACGAACGGCCACATGTACGTATTTAAATTAACATGCAAATTTTTCACACGGTAAAGAATCCACGTCAAAGTGTCACGTACACGTAGTGAGAATTCTAAGAGAAATTCATAATCGCAACAAGAGTATCCGAGTTTTATACTGGATATAAATCATAGGAGGGGGAGTTTAATTATTTCATGAAAGAGGAAGGCTTAAACCCAGATGCATGCATCTTCAGCTGCCAAGTCCTACGGCCGACATGAAAAATACGTTGGTTTCGGAAGTCCAAGGCTCGGAGCACAAACTTCCGAGAACCGGATAAATCCGTACCCCGAAGACTGCCACGTACGTACTCCATGCGTAAAGTCCAAAGTTCAGAGCCATCGGCGTCTCAGAGACCTACTCCACCCCAAGTCCAAGACCCGATTCAAGTCCGGAACTTAAAATAAAGTCTCAGACCAACCGTTCCAGTCATAAGGATGGCGCTGGGCCATCGGCACCCGATCTCGCGCATCGAACTGGATATACCGAGCACACAAGTCCGTACGTACGACGCTCTGCTCCGTGGCATGGAAGGCGTGCGATCGGAGCGTGAAAGGAAGCGTCGGACGGTCGGTCGCGAGGGAACGTCGTTACCTCCCGTCGACCCGCCTGGCCGTCGAGCGTTATGGTCAAGAAACTCTCAAGGCCGGAGAACGAGGGGAACGACCGACTGCGCAGTGGGATGTGGTTACACCAACTGCGGTAGAGTAGCCGGGACTGGGCTAGACTGCAGTAGATGCCAAACATAGAGGGTAATAATAGAGCCGAGGCGGATTTTGTGAGTGGGAAGTGAAGAGGTGGAGACGTCGACCGACTGCGGAGTGGGATGTGGTTATACACACTGCGGTAGAGTAACCCGGCCTGGACTGCACTGGAGTGGGCTGGACTGCAGTAGGTGCCAAAAATAGAGCGTAATAATGGAGCCGAGGCGGATTTGGTGAGTGGGAAGTGAAGAGGTGGAGACGTCGCGATCGTCATTGTGTCGTGGACTGGTCACAAAAAGAGGATGGGGAGGGCGAATGGGGAAGGGGAAGGGAGGGAGGGGCTCGTACTCTGCCTGCTGCCGGAGCAGGAGGACGAGGGGTGGGGGGGGGGGGGGGGGGGGGGATGGCAGGCAGCAACAGCAAGTGCGGCCTACTTTTGCGATCCTGCGCTCTGATTGAATGATGGCAGGCATGGCAGGCGGAGTGCATCGTGGCGAGCGGGGCCTGTTCTTTTCTTGCTTTCTTGTGTGCCGATGCGCTTCCAATTCCGTGGCTCGCCCGGCGCTGTTGACCCGCAATTGCTCCTCTTCTTGAGCGAGCGACGAGAGCCCTCTGCAGATCTGCGGATCCTCTGGCCGGGCCTGCCAGACTTCTGTTACGATTGTCCCGCGATCAGGTCGTCGGTCGGAGGGGGTGGACCGAGGAAGCGCTTTATAATTAGAGAGCGGGGCGGGGCCGAAATCGTCAGAGAGGCTGGGAGATGTGCAGTCGTAGTGGGAGGGAGGGGAAGCAGCACATCACGCCACAGGCTCAGGCACAGGCACAGGCCCGGCCCCGGCTCCGGCCCGACCGGGTACGGGTTTCTTTAAGGAGGAGCGCGACGGAGAAGCGGGGCCAGTGAATCTGCGGGCTTCAGACCCTGTTCCGGCAAAGGAGGAGGAGGAGGAGGAGGAGAACGGACGAGACGAGAGAGGAGGTGGAGGAGGCGGAGGTGCGGATCATAGAAACAGGCCGAATTCGCTGTGAGCTGGGCATTCCTCTGGATTTGTTGTAGGCCGGGACTCTGGTGTACTAGGGGATTGGTGGCGAGGCAAGGCAGGCATAGCAAGCAGGCAAGCGAAGCCAAGCCGAGCCCGGCCACGTCAAGGCGAGCGCTGCTCTGCCTGAGCTCTGCTGCCCTCTGCGCGAGGCCTGGCTCCGTTCCCGACAGCAGCAGCAGCAGCAGGTGTAGAGGAGGAAGGGAGAGACGAGCTCGATCTCGGGTCCCGGCCGAACGAGCAAATCCCGACAGCGTAGTCGTATTACACGACCTTTGCCAAGAGCCTTCCCTCCGGTCTTGCCGCGATCCGTGACGGAGCGAGTGAAAGTGCAGGATCACATTGAAGAGAAAACCTGTGCGCTCGTACTGTTGAGCACACCCCAGCTTCCGTCCGGCATTCCCTCGGACAGTGAGAGGGAGGGAGGAAGGGAGGGAGTGAGTGAAAGAGAGTGAGAACGACAGACGGTGTGCGAGAGTGTGGCTTGTCCGCGTATGGTAGCATTTTCCACCCTTCGTGCAGTGCATGCGTATTTTGCGTGCGCTTTGTCCTGCACCTATTTTTACCTCGCAGGTCGGGGGTGAGAATTGATCCACCTCTTTCGCTCGATCTTGGTTACGGTTGCTCGTTTTGGCAGGTAGATAGATCTGTCTCCCACAGCTGAATTTTCAGCCGGCGAGCGGCAGGGCATTGCCTCGCGGAGTTTCGTCTATAGTTCTCCATTATTTTGGTGTTGCGACTGTTCTGCCGCCTGCATTGTTCGGAGCACGCACCGGGGAGGGAGATCTAAGCTTTGCTCTTTACCATCGATAATCACTTCCTCCCTCGTCGCGGTGTGTCTGAAATCTCAACTCAGGTTGTGGGGTAGTTTTGCCATACTTGGACGAGTATTATGGATCTATTCTTTCAGATCAGATCCTCGAGGTGGATCGCGTAATTGGTGCATTTCGGACCAGGCAGCTCTCTTACTTCTGCACGAACTCAACAAAAATTGGCCTTCACTGTCACGAAACACCGGGAACTCTAATTTTTGTTCCATCACACTCTCATTTTTGTTCGTTTGCCTTCTGCCACTCCCGTCATCACAATCAGCTCTAGGGCAGAAAAAATGACGGAGTCTACAGGTATTCATTTGGGAACGTTTGGGGCCTTGAGTCTGTCCGTGATCTCGTCTGTGGCAATTGTGATCTGCAACAAGGCCCTCATCAGTACTTTGGGGTTCTGCTTCGGTAAGTACTGCCCATGGTCGATTTACTGCATTATAGAAAAAATGCCATCTGTTTTGGAATCAGCGTGTGAGGCTTGAATTTGTGACAACCTATTAGATGGCTCAATACCCGTTCGCAATTCGCGACGGAGTGTAGGTAGTAGTGATGCCCTAGTTTGTCCCTCATGTCGTGTTTGTAAAAGCAGCTTTTCCTCTCGTGTTTTGAACCGTCGGAAGTATTCGGGTGCTTGTTGTGTCAAGCACGTGCTGTGTCCAAATGCTCCCAGTTCCGTGGCACTGACCAAAATTTTCTCTTTCGGTTTTCAGCGCCAGCCTTTTTAGTAGAATTGATCAGGGTGAACCCTCGATATTCTAGAAACTAGCGAATTATTGCGTCATCTAATAGCTAGTGAAAAATTTTCCTGAAAATCACATGCTTACTCACATGTTGTCATCGGGGTTTCCGATGAAGTGAGATACCAAAGAGTCCAACTTTTTGCATGAGACCTATCTCTCCTTGCGGGTTAGCAAGAATACTTGCCCCCTGTTGATTCATTACATATGTGGTTTGTGATGGATAACGTTCTCCCCCGTCAGACCAGTTCTCAAGTTCGTTCTTATCAGGGGTTGCATTCTCGTGAGCTTTATCACTAGCCATTATTTAGCTTTTGTCATAACCTGCGGTGTACTTGGATCTAACTTCGGCTTTGTTGTGTTTGAACAGCAACAACTCTGACGAGCTGGCATCTTCTAGTGACGTTTTGCTCTTTGCATGTCGCGCAATGGCTTAGTCTCTTTGAACATAAGCCCTTTGACTCTCGCACAGTCATGGGATTTGGAATCTTGAACGGGATATCCATCGGTCTGCTGAATTTGAGCTTAGGATTCAACTCTGTCGGATTCTATCAGGTAGACTTGTTGTGGCTTCTTTTTATGTAATTTTCAATTATTCCCAAAAATAGCAATTGACATTGATGGAAAGAAACGAATACGATGTTATTTGGCGGTTTTTAATTCTTAAAGGCAAGTATTGAATATATTTGCTGGTACCTGTACAGATGACGAAGCTCGCCATTATCCCCTGCACAGTTCTGCTGGAAACGGTCTTCCTCCGGAAGCGATTTAGGTTTGTCTCCAGATTGCTATAACGCAAACTCTTTGCTGATTGTATGGAGCAATTTAAACAAAAAGAATACAGTGATTTTTCTTATTTCTATTGTGAGAAACTATGATCTTTCTAAAGTTGCAACTGGGAAGTTTTTTTGCAATCAATGGTGTATTATCTGTCTCCTTGTAATCAGCGAAACAGCAAACCCATCGATCGCGCTTTGCTTCACAAAGGCACACGAAAATCACAATATTACCTAATAAAATCTGAGGGAATTGATGTCCACATTTCTTTCGCTGTGTTGGCCTTTGCCCCACATGTTTATATCCTCATTGTTCTGTTCGAGTTGATCTGCTGAAAGAAGAATTCACTTCGCTCGAGTGGTCGTTGATACTGATACAGTGTACATTGTAATATCTCTTGTTTGATACACTTACGTAGTTTGTACTTCTGAACATATATCAGAATTACATGTGTATGTGAATGCTCATTTCTCTTCGTAATCGTCAGGTTCTGGTTTTCTTCTTGAAAACTTTGTAGATATATCATAATGTGTCCTGCACAGCAGGATTTTGCGTAGAGCCCGATAAGGGTTCTTACTTTCACCAGGACAATCTGCCTTCCAGCCAACTGGACCAATACACTCCTTAAGTCTTCTTTCGGATTTCATCTTTGTCATTTGCTCTAAACTTTTCCTTCTTTCTTTATCTGGCTTACGCTTCGCTTTTCTCAGCCTCCGTTCAAATCTTGTGACTTTTCGCCCGTATTCCACCACAGTAAGCTGTACTCTTTGCGTTGTTAACTTGAAGTTAGTTTTTCACATCTTGGAACTTTATTGCTGGGTTCAGCCTCTTTGTCTTGCTGGTTCATATTTTGGCTGCTCGAAACTTAGATTAGTGCGGTAAGTTAGGGTCCCGAGTCCGTGCTTGTACAGTCCTAACAATATCTCATGAGTTTTGTGCCTTTGTGAGGATGCGTACATGATTCTCTCGTCTTCTGGATGTGTCTTTGCTTATAAAAACATTCATACTATGTTGAGACTCCGTTCCGTAGAATCGCTAATCATTTTTTTGTTTCTGTTGCCAGCCGGGGTGTTCAAATGTCTCTCATGCTACTGCTGCTTGGGGTTGGCATCGCTACGGTTACAGACCTTCAGCTTAACGTTCTGGGCTCCGTTCTCTCTTTATTGGCCATAGTGACAACGTGCGTAGCACAAATCGTATCCTTTACAGCCTGGATATTTTTGAATGAAGTTCAACGTGGTTTTGGAAGTTTAGCTTGTTCTGCGCTTGTAATAGTTAAATTTTACATCATTGTGAAATAGTTTTTCTCGGCGTTTATATTGGAGGTAGTGCAGAGAGCAAGCCTGCGGTTGCTTCTGGTTCAAGGGATAAGTTCCTGAAAGTTGGTTTTCTACTTAACCGAACTTTTCACCCAGATGACAAACACCATCCAAAAGCGCTTCAAAGTTTCGTCTACGCAGCTTCTGTATCAGTCATGTCCCTACCAGGCATCGACTCTATTTTTGATTGGTCCCTTTCTGGATGGTGCTCTCACTCAGCAAAATGTTTTCGCTTTTGACTATACAGTGAAAGTGCTGGTAAGTAACTGTTCTAAGCTTTTCTCTACGCTGCACAATTTTGAACTTACTGCCAACTAGCGACCCTGTGGATTAGATGTCAACTTATTATCAATGTGTTCAATTCGGCCGGGGACAACTGATGTACATGCACATTTCCGTCAACTTGTTATTTGTTAAACTCTGGAAGTTTCTAAGTTTGCAATATTGCCTTGGCAGTTTTTCATCACGTTGTCGTGTCTCATCTCCGTCTCCGTCAACTTCAGCACTTTCCTAGTCATCGGCAAGACCTCTCCGGTGACTTACCAAGTTCTAGGCCACTTAAAGACGTGCCTTGTTCTTGCTTTCGGATATATTTTGCTGAAGAACCCATTCAGCTGGCGAAATATATGTGGAATTGCCGTTGCAGTTGTTGGTATGGCAGCCTATTCTTATGCCTGTATTATCGAAAGTCAGCACAAGCCTGCTGAGACTGGCAACCAGTCTACTCAGGTGAGACAATTTCTTTCTACATTAGAGACCTGCACAGTACTTTGAGTCTCTATGAATTTCCTACTTGCTGCTATCAAAGTACTTCGTTGCGATTTTACGTAACCCATGCCTATGCAACAGTTTGCTATGACAGGCGGATGCTGGAGGTAGCAGTGTCTAAATACTATATTAATGTTCTAGCTAATGCATCCTCATGGAGTTGTAAGGCCTGTCTAATGCCAAGGTCTCAATGCTCATTTGGTGATTGCAGAGTATGAAAGATCAGGAACTTGATCCACTTTTGGCTGCTGAGGCTGGAGTCAACTCGAAGCTGACAGAAGAAAATGACAGCCTCTGGAATAAAGCAGGTGCGGGTAAAGACTTTCGAGCGTAACTCACTTAGTAGTGCGAAAGGTTTCTACAGTGGTCTTAATGAAAGGCCGAAGTCAGCTATAAGTCTCTTTTGCATACGTCCTCCATTCACAATCAGCGTTAGGCGAATATCAAGATTAACTTCAAGATCAACAATGACCCCAGATTTCTGGGGCCTCACCACTACATTGAAGAATTGCACTTTTTACGACTTTGTAAAGAGCTGCCTGTTAAGGAGGGCATGGCCAACACATGCCAAAGTTCGTCCTTGGAGCTGCATTATGAAAGAGAGGAGCTATATGCAGTCAATTGAATCTAGTCTAAGTAGTGCGGACATAGCGCGGCCATACGGCCTTCAGTTTAATCGATGACCGTGGATTTCAAGGTACCAAAAGTTGGGCTTGAAAGAGGAAGCGGTGTACAGGGACTCACCATAGATGATCTCTGGCTGAAGGTAGTAGTGAGCTAGAGTGTAATCTATCTCCATCTGCGGTGCTCTCTGTCACAATTTTTACTTCAAATTTTTGCGAAAGTTAACTGCTCAACAGAGCACATGAAAAATTTCTAAGTCTCCGAATGCAATGGAAGATCATTTCTTGTAGAAAATTAAATTTGAATTCTAGGACCGAAAAGCTGGAGGCTGCGTAGAAGCTTGTTTGAAACCGCCTATTCTCAATGCTGGCTAAGGTCTTCCGACACTGAATATACAGACGTAAGTTTATACCGGGAGAGCAGATGGTGGCATTTGATTGAGTAGAGTAGTTCCACATCTAAGAAACCTGAAGGACTTGGCATGCATGTAACTGGATGTGACATGCGTGCACATATCGTTGATCTTAACATCTTTTAGATTAAACAGCAGAGTCGAGGGAGAGCTATTAGTATTGGTAGTAAGATGTAGCTCTTCGCATGTCTTTCACGACTGTACTCAGAGAAGTGCATGTCAACGTTCACAGTGTGTCGATAGATTCCTGTCTGGGGATCTGAGAACCAAGATGGGGTTCCAATCTTGGTACAGTGATGAACAATCATTACGACAGGTAAATGCAACTGTCGACTTGACCACTTGAGCAGTAGAATCGAGCACTACCACAAGAGACCAGAAGATAATTTGCCCTAGGGACAACTTCTACACGAATTGCTTCTGTATAGAGACCAAGAACCTTGCAATGATGTGATGAAAGTTCGCTTGTGTTACATGTGGCTTCGTATCACTTTTTCCTCTGTGAACCAGAAGATGATGCGATATATTGTAACAATAGGACTTACTTCCAAGTTGATCTTCTTGCCGTCAACAACTTGCAATTGTATTGTTTTTAATTTTCTGGGTGATTGAGGAGATGTGAGTATGTCTTCAATTAGGCTTTCAGGTGTGAGGTTTATAGTATGTAGGACTGAGTGATGGGACTGCAGTACTGTTGCATGCTCTATCATGCTTCTTGTATCTAAAAGCAAGTCTTGGCTTGCAGCTGGAAAGGAAGACCCTGTGAATGAGAAGTGATTTCTCAAGTCTGCAAGGCCAAGTTCATTGGGAACCCATCTATACACTGAGGTAGAACTGCTCGAATAGATGTGTGGTACGTTGCTTATGAGCGCCATACATAGGTATAATCGATCTTATGTAGTGCAATATTTTTCAGATCAAGCTCTTAATCAGTATGCATGACTTCTGATTGCGCAAATGGCGTTATAGGGTATGCAGAGGATCATCTTCAAGAGGCATGTTGAGATCATTTGTTAAAGTCATTGTACACTAGAAAATTATGTATATGCTGGCCTCAATGTTCTTCTGAAAATTGCGGAGTCGAACTATACGCTGGCATTCAGCAATAAATGAGGTGGTTCGGACGAGAGCAATCTTCTATGATTGGTTTTTTTTTGGATTGGGGGGTGTGTTTGAATCTGGTCGTATAGCACTGGGAATGAGCTGGGTTACCAGCAGTGCTTGATTGCACAGCTGTTAGAGCTGGACTTCGCTTGTCTGGAAGCCATTCCGATTTGTTCTTCACAACGAAGCCAACATCGTTCCACAAGGGTCGTGATCAGTTTGCAAAAAACATGTCATGTTTTCGATCTTGTGGGCCTATCGTAACCTGTCCGGACAAAGAAGCGGCTGGTACTAAAGTACATCAGATGTCCACCTTTGGACGCTAAACCTTCACCTCGCGACTTCAGTTCTTGGTTGGCTGTACCTGTCTACCCGATCTTATCCAATGCATGTATTCTGAATTTTAAGGATGCTCACACTTGGACACGTTTCTTCATCTCGTGTGGGAAAAGATCATTATGTTTTCATATAGTGGAGTTGAACATATACTCGCCACCATCCTCTTCGCTCTCAGGATACTGGCATTTATGACAAAAGGCTGCAAAGGCCAGTGGGAATCTAGCAACTGAAAGAACTCGGATGACAAAAAAATAGGATCATCATTTTGGCCTCACTGGGACACCTCAACTTGTTAGGGACCTGGAAAGGTGAGGTTCCAAACGCACTGGGCAGTGTGATGTGTCTAGTTAGCCACTCGCGAGCTCTCGCAGTTTGCAAATCTCCTATCAAAGTCATCACCGACACCACCTCTACTTGTCCTTGCCATGAAGGTTTCAGTCTAATTGGAGCCATGCGAAACGAAGTGCAGGCGTTCAACGGACGTGTGACAAAGCAAACCCCTCTGTTGACAACACCTGTTCCATAAATTAAGATTACACACGGAGGAATGTGGGACCTCAACACAGCGTCGAAGTCTCGAAGATGCATGAGTTGACTGACTGGGCGACTGCGGGGCCGCGGAAGATTCTGTGACCCAAGTTGACGACGTCCTCACGTAGTAAGTGGGTAAAGTGGAAGGGCAAAGGGACATGATTCGAAGGCGACTGGGACTCAGTGGGAGATGCCCCGAAGGACCTTCCACGTACGCAGGAGTAGTTGCATGGGTCGATCCTTTTATCCCCCGCGAGGCGGTCCAGGGATCTCTATCTGGTAAAAGATTCAGCCTGAGCCTGAGAACTGCTATGGAACTCGACTCAGACACCTCGTGATGTAAGAACAGATTTCACGTGCGACGACGTGGTGCTTTTACCAGATATAAAGAGGACGGTGGAGATTCTCCTCCGCCTGCTAAAGCTCTTCATCCTTCTCATCTCTATGGCCGGAAAGCTGCTGCTTCAGTCGTTAGTGGTGCCGCCTCTCCTATTCTTAGTTATTTTCCCATGCTGCCTTCCCTCCCTTCCCCTCTCGTCCCCTCCCACTTCCTTGCCTTTTGTCCTCCCTCCCCTGCTACTACGGCATCAGGATACCGACTGTGTCCACCGCTGCAGCAGCAAGAGCACAGTTATCTTGCCGGGGAGCTGGGGAATGGTGGGTCGGGAACAGTGAAGGGATCACGAACATATGTGGAGTTCTTGGAGGCCGAAGGAGGCGCAAACAGAGTAACGATGGGCATGTGACAGTGGTATCGTAGAGTTTTCAGGGGTGGTTGCGGAGATTCAATCCGTGAGTCCATTCAGGCGCTCTTTTGACACCAGTTCTGGCAATGGGAACCCGAGTACATTCTTGCCTACAGGTCTTGTCTCCTCAGTCGTCGTCATTATCACCCATCTCAGGAGCAGAGTATGCATCGGGTGCAGTTTTGACCCCGTCGAATCAGATTGTTCTGCCCAGACAGTCGTCGGGTTGCAGTTCAGCATCAATAAATTTCAGCACTCAGCTCAAGCAAGTCGTTGGAGCCCGGTTGAAGAAGATTCAGCGTACTAAGTCTAGTTCTGTTGCGAGCTTTTCTCCATACTGCGCTGATTTTGGGGCCAATGGGATTCCTCAGTCCCAGAATTCATTTGTGTCCAAGGTTTTTCATACCCAACGGAGGAGGGTCGGGGTTTCTTGCTCACTCAGTAATCCTTCAGCTCCTTCTTCGCCATCTTCCTCCCCTCCTTCCAAGGATTCAGGTTCAGCTCATTCTTCCTCGCTCTTCCCTCCCTCTGCCGTTTCTCTCGGTTCAGAGGCCACATACACCAATGGAGCTTCCTCCTTTGTGGAAAGCATGACAACTGCGGAGGGCTCGTTCTTCGAGAGTGTGACAAGACCAGAGGAGCTGAATTTGACAGAAGGAAGTGAGCTTTCCGTCCAAATTTTTGATGGTTTAGATGATCAAAATGGGACCTTGTTGGACCCAGAGTTGCAAGGGATACTTGCGAACATTGCCGATATGCAGAGGCAGAATGAGATGCTATCGGAGCAGATGAAGGAGTTTCAGCAATTATTGACAAAAACTACGAGATCACTGAACGTCAAGGCTCAGGAAGCCAAAATTGAGGCCGCAAAGCTGAAGAAGCTGGCGAAATTGCATCAGATTGAAGAGATACGTCGAGGAGACGAGATTAGGAGGAAGATTTTGGAGTCAAGAATTCAGGAGGAGTTGAGAGAGAGAACATCACTGGAAGATGCGTTTCAGCGAAGAAGACAAGATGTTACTGAAGATGAACCTGCTGATCTGGAACAAGGTACCTTGTTCTCGTTTAAGGAATTGAACTCTGGGGTTGAAGAAGTTTTGCAGGAGAATGAAGGGGTCGCGTCGGAGGAGTCTACTGAGGGCAAAGAGAACGCAGAAGCTCAAGAGACCTTAGAGTGTGTGATTTCGCACCCAGGAGCTCTGTCATGTACAAAAACCGTGATCAAGTCTGATCCTTCGAGAAAATCCGCGGTAGTGATGATGGAAACCACAGTCAGCTGTGCAGGTGACGCCTGCTTTTTGACAAGTCTCGACGAGGATGACTACGTCGCTCTTGCTGTCCAAACTTTGGCTGAGACAGCTCAAGAGCTGAAAACTTCTCGATTTCAGAGAGCAACGGATACCGATCCTGTACAACATCGGAAGCACAACGCAATTTCAGAACTTCTCTCCACTGGCAGGTAAATTTCATTGCCTTTGTTATTTTGAACAAAACAAAGTTTTGGCAATACATATGGTTTCTTTGCTTAATTCCTAATTTACCCTGCATATCGAATATTTCTATCATGTAGTGGAGTTCAACTTTCTGCAGGTAAAAAGTACTCCTGATACCGGAAATTCGGCAAACTGAAGAAATTCAATTTGTATTGGAATTTTTTTACTTAAAATTTTGGATCCTGCTTACAACCCTGAAGACCAGTCAGGGACCGGTTTCTCTACACTTTTCTTTGAAATCACCTACCCACTTTACCCACTTTATGTCAAAAGGTACGAACTTGACAACGCCTCGGTGTTTTTAACAGGATCGTGAAGGCTCGTCCTATGGAACCTCCAAGCAAGTTCGGTCATGAGAGTTTTGTGGTCCAGTTGCTGAACAAACAAACAGGACAGAAGGTATGCTTTATTCTAGCCTAGTTTGATTCTATTGCAAGAGCCATTTTTTTGCATAAAAATTTGGAGAGTGGACAGGGAAGGCTGTTTAGTTTTCTTGTTTTTCCTTTTGATGTGTTTTTTCTCGGCAACGCTGGACTTCTGGTTGCAGACGAAGATGCTTGGTGCTGTCTTTGGTTTTGGGCTTAAGACTATATAATGACTAGATTTCAAGAGGAATGAGAACGGAGCGCTTTTTTCTTGGACATGAATGTAATCATCAATCTTTGCAGATTGATGCCATGTGCAAGCCAGGTATTGAGGGTCATGCTGATGGATGGCATCGTGCAGCCATAGAGTTAGTGGCGTATGAGCTAAATCTGATGCTGGGAATGGATTATGTACCCCCGGTAAGTGGAAATTCTGTCTTGCTTTGATCTTGTAAACGTTAAATATTTTCAACATTCTCATGTTCGCTGTGGGTTCGTAGTCTTTTCCATTATTGTCGGAACAGTCTGGAGTAGCCCTTTAATCGATTTGTGCGATTGCAGGTCGCTTACAGATCTGGTGGCGTGGATGTAAATTATAAGCATTTTAGCGACGGAGCATTTGTATACTATGTACCTAACACGGTGCCGCTGAGAAAAGTCCCGGCCACGAACTGGGGCGTGTCAGTGGCCCTGCTGTTGAGTGATACGAGGATACTGGACGTGCTACTCAACAACTCAGATCGACACCATGGTCACTTTCTCTTCGGAGAGCATTGGGCTGATGGAAAGATGAGGCCAGTTCTAATCGATCATGCGGCAGGTTTTAGAAAAGTAAGTCCCACTCCTCAGCATGATTTCTGCTTCTTGATAACTTCTTCATGTGAAATGTATACAAGGCTGACCTTTGTTCTCGTTGGCCTTTCGATGTAAAATGAGCAGGAGGCTGTAGTGAAGATGGATCACGAGAACGCTTTCCAAACAGGACCAGTCCGCTGTGTGTCGTCAAAAACTTATCTGAGGTTACGTTTCTTAGAGAAACAAACCATCGAGAGCAAGTTTAAAGGTATTTTGTCTTCGGAGGAGGTGAACAAGATGATGGATCGTCGTGACATGGTACGATCTTGCCTTTTTTTATTGTTTTCGTCTTTGAGTAATTTGAGCTTTTCCTAGCCGACATAATGCACCAGATTGAGAGTACTTTCTGACCTGCTTCTGTTGTCGTATGCAGATTCTCTCCTACTTGGACAATCTGGTCTCCGAAAGGGGCTACCATAAAACTGTCATCGAAACGTGAAAGACAGGAAGCCTCTACTGTAGCGCTAATATTTGCCATGTTGTAAAGTATTCAGTAGCTATCATGCTGACACTCATGATTCATAGTTAGAATGATTTCTACTGATGAGTAGATTCATCATCGAATTTCATGTACAGTTTTCCCGGCCATCACACCAGGCCCTGTATTATTTATAATAACCAAGAAAACATCATTTGAGTAGATTTCTTCTTGCGAGATCAAGGTTAACAATGACTTTATGAATTTGGCAGCCCTTCTTGGACGAGCCCATTGCTCCATGCTCATTTTGGGCCAAGTGGTGAGTAGTTCGCACTGCAAGTTGGTTATGAGTAGCAAGCTTAGTGAATAATGACCTGTCCAGCACGAAGAAGTGCAGACCACCGTAAGAGTGCTTGACTTTTCTCTCTGACCTTTAATCTGAAAGAGATTAAAGGTAAATGAAACAAGTGGAACAAGGTTTTTGCAGAAAAAGTGCGGTCGAGAAGGACTTTCCTGACGCGGGAGAGAAAGCCGTACTTCACAGCAGTATGCATACCTGGAATGAATATCCACAAGCCTTTGAAAAGTGTGCCTGCTTTCCGCCACATTCTGTCCCATTCTCGCGGCTCTTTAGCCATACGAGAGCCACATCGATTTGCCCTCAATATAATGACACGACTTAGGTTTGATTGGCAACATACACTGAAGATCGAGGTACGTTTTATTTCAGACAAATTAAAGGATCAACGAGGCGATGTGAAGAAGAATGTATGTATGCGTACAACGAGTAAGTCACGGGCACTGCTCTGATCTGATTTGATTTCTGACCAAGTTAAAACCGATACTGCTAGCTAGACCTATACCAAAGAGCATGGCCATTGAGAATGGCCAAACAACGCTGTACTCCCTTCTGTAGGGCTCTCGTGTACGGCTGTCAAAACCCTGGGTCAGATGTCATCAAGCTCCCCTGTAGTAGACTGAGGGGGGTATAATCAGAAAATTTGGCCCAGTGTGCTGTCACATCTAGGTGTCATGCGTGCTCGACCTGGCCCCCGGTGCCGACTGTAGACCCATTCGGTGGAGTGCAGATCGTTAGCTGTCTGTCTGACGGAAGTCATTCCAGCACGAAGCTTCACACCTCCGTCCTCCGTCTCTCCTGAAAATGTGCCGTGCTGCTATGGTACGTCTGCAGTCCTGCACTGTTCCGTGATGGTAGTTGTCCTTGACGAGGAAGACTGAGCCGAGCGTTGACCTTTAATCCTGTCTGGAGTCCGGCGCCTGGACGTGTACATTGCGCGCAGGGGAAGGAGGGGACGGGGCTTCAGTAAATACACGTACGTCTTAGCAGTAGAGAGCCTAACAATAAGCCCGGCCCCATTCTACGGCAAGATCGACTCTAGACCAACATACTCCAGCTGGTCAGCACCAATATAATCCGAAGGTCGGCGATCGCATGTAAGAACAGAGAGCATGTCGGGTTGACATTTCGCAAATGGGCTGGTCTTGGCGTCCTGACTACTTAAAAGGAGGTCCGAGCACTTAGAGAAGAAACTGATCCACGGCTTTCAGGGAGGGTAGGCATGAGGAGATGACGGAAACAATCCCTACAAGTGAAACGTGTGCTGCTGCGTGCGGTAGCGAATATGTCTGCCTGGTCTGGGTGATTTGGAGGAATGAAAATCCTATGAAGGCGGATATTTCTGCAGTGGAATATATACAACCGGCTCTGAAGCTTAATTCAAACGTTCGGTAGCTTGGACAAGTGAGATGCAGATGCTGGTCGTTGTGGACGTCGGTTCTCAGGCTGGCTTTCCATCAGCGATAGCATGGTGTACGCATGTCACAATGTAGTGGTGATTAAACTTAAAACCTTACTTTGACCTCGTGATTCAAGCCTGTCAGCAGCCAAGATAAAGATGGTGAGCAGAAATATAAGTCTCTGCGGATGAGTGTGGGTGTGAGTAAGCGAGTGGAAGCACATGAACTTCCTTCTGCAGATGAAAAACAAAAGACTAAAACAGCAGTACATGCATCCACGAAGACACGTACGCCGGTAACGGAACGGTGATGTTGTATAAATGTATAAAATATATTCATATCATATATATGTAATAATCAAAAGTAGTAGCAGGAGCTTTCTATTGCGCTTGTAATTCGAGTCAGGGTACATGTAGAGAGATCCAGAGATGTTTAAAGTTGAGCTTCTATTCTTCAACTAATGTGCTTCAGTTAAGTGCGCGATAAGTTTGTTGTTTGCTACAAATAAGCCACTGCGACTCGATGTTCTAATGTACACAACAACTTTGGTACAACCTAATTGGAAAGAAGAATGAAAAAAGTCCTATGAAACAGATTGTGATCACAGACGGGATCGGATCTGAGGGGCACACGCCAGCAAAAGCAGATGATGATTCAGGATGATACTTACACCCGGACAGTAAACCCCAGGTGGAAAGAATTGGGGCCAGGCCCGCAACTTCGAGAAAAAACATACAGAGGCACGGGAGTCCTCTCCATGTACAGTGCTGTGCTGTGCTCTGTGTCTGTCGAGAGTCGGCCAATTGGCTTACTTCTCCCAGAATCTTGTGAAGTTAAGCAAAAACGGTTCGAGTGTGCGCAGTTGTGTTGAGTTGATTGACTTGAGTTGAGTTGAGTTGAATTGAGTTGGTGAAGTTACTAGGCTCAGCTGATGATGATGACGACGGACTGTGACTGATTGACGACGATGATGATGAAGAAGAAGAAGAAGGAGGTCGGCATTTGATGATGATGTTGACGTGTTGTGTTGATCGGAGTTACCTGAAAGGCGCTTTCCTTGGATCTCCGGCACTTCCGTTAAGAGAGAGGGCAGGGTCTCCCAGATAGTTGTCCCTCGAAGGAGGCATCGTAAATCTCTCGATGTTCACCGGTCCCGACATGCCCTTCAAGCTGGGACTTCTGACGGAATAGAACGACATCTTCTGAGTCCTCGACACGGGCCCGGACTGGTTGATGGAATTCTCCGAAATCGGAAACGACAGCCTCTTCTTGGCAGGCGTCAAATCCTTCTCGGGAGTTCCAGGCCTCTGCTTGGGCGTGCTGTGAGACCTGACCTTGGCCCGAGCGGACTGCGTGATCTGCATGTAGTTGGGCACGGCCGGAGAGCTGGCCAAGCTTTCATCATCTCGAATCGATCCCGCCATGCTGGCCAGGCTATACCTCGTGCCGAATCGCTGACCCGTCGAGAGCAAGCTCGGCGTGCTTCTGTTCGTGGTCGATGCCGTGCTCGTGTCTTCATCGTCTCGCCGGGGCGCCCGTCGGGGGCTGCCGGACCGCAGCACAGGGTGGCTGGGCATGGACATGCTCATGCTCATGCTCATGCTCTTGTGGTTCAGTGGCGGCGGCAGAGGCGACAGAGGGTGCATTGCGCCGTTCATGGTCTTCTGCACGGGCGTGCTGGGGATGTCGTAGTGGCTGTGATTGTACCCATTGTGGTGGTTGTGCCCATTGCCGCTCGAGTAGAGCGAGTGCGAGTGCGAATGCGAGTGGTCCGAGTGATGGTGGTAGTGCGGATTTCCTCCGCTCGACAGAGGGCCCGACACGGCCACGAGAGGGCGGTCGCGCTGAGCCAGGTACTGCTGGTGGCCGCTCGAGATGGGGCCCGACATGGGAACCGATCCTCCTCCTCCTCCTCCGCTGCGCTGCTTGCTCGAATTCTGCTTCACGTTGTCGATCTCCACAATCTTCGTGCTCTCGGCATCCGTGCTGTGCCCGGACGCATCCTCCAGCGGGTCCTTGCTGTCATTGGCCCGATTCTCCCACGGTCGCGCGGCCATCCACCTCTCGAGCCAGCTCCAGCCCCAGTGAGGCTTGTCGGGCTCGCAGTCGATGAAGAGTTGCGAACTGTCCTTGGGGCTGCCCCTCCATAGCTGACCACACCATGTCCCACGTGAGCTTGGAATACAGAAACCGACCGACCGACCGACCAGCCCAAAAATCCTGGCCTACACTCAACTACGACAATTTCACAGCAACGCAACGAGAGAAGGAGAAGCTATGGAATGGAATGGAAGCCGAACCTGATGTGAGAAGGCGTATGCCAGGGCCCTCTCGCGCTTGAGCGCTGCCTCTTGTTTACTCTGCTCCTTCTGCTGGAGCTCTTCCACGGTGCGAACGCTGTCGTTCCATCCGTTGCCCTCGCCCATGCCATAAATCGAATCCGACTACAAAAACATACCGAGAAGAGCCATCGAGCCGAGGGTTATGGATCTGGGTAATAAGAGAAGTGCGAGAGACAGAGCTAGAATGGCATTTTCAGGGTGGAGTGTGCTCGAGCACTTACGACTGATTTTCTCGGCTTCACGAGGCCATTGATGTTGTTATTGTTGCTGTTGCTGTTGCTGTTGTTGCTGTTCCCGTTGCTGTTGGCAGGATCCTGACGTCGTTGCCATATCTGCCGCTGCACAGCTTGACCCTCCTCCGACATGCGCACGCGCCTCGCTCGCACTCGGGCTTGGACTCGGACGAGCGCTTGCATGCAACGCAAGGTGATGGTCGCCTGGCGTCGGACTGTATGCCCACGCACCAGAGCCTGCAGCCTCACCAGACCTCGAAGCGCACGCAGAGCGCGTCGAGCCTACAATACACCCGCACACCCCCCGGTCAATCCTCCATCGCTGGAAGCGAAAATCATCTGATCTAATAATCGAATGAATCGACCCAAATTTCCCCGAAGCAATCCGCCAACTCTTGCGGCTCGTAATTTGGCCCGCACATACGAAGCCATTTCCGTGGACACTGCGTGACGCAAAATCGCCTGATTTCACGAAGAAAGAGAGCAATGACGAACAAGAAGAGGAGACAGAAAAACAAGAAGCGCACCAGGTAGCCGCGGAAAGCGGTCTGAATTCGTATGGCAGCCCACTCCTCTCTGGATTCGTCGCCGTAGTAGTAGTGGCGGACGCCGTGCACGCCAGTGAGGCGCACCACGGCGGCCGCCGCGTGAGCAGCGGCCACAGCTGCATCGGCTGCCGCGGAAGTGGCAGCGGCGACGGCAATTGCTCGCTGGTTCTGCTGTTCTTCATGCTGCGTCAATTTGTCGTTCAGAGGCTGGTACTCCTTTCCGCCTCCGCCTCCGCCTCCGCCGTACACTTGCGAATTCTGCTTGCCGAAACTCCACCTCCGCTTCTCCTTCGGCGGCTTCTTCTGAATCACACGCACCCACAGATATAACGACGAGCCTACCTCGTTCGTCCCTCCCCTCTCCACACCGCAATTTCATCCATCGATCATGCGCAAATTATCGATAAAAACGAGCGACGCTGACAGAAATCGACGAGCGACGAGAGAAGGACGAGGATAGGGAGGGAGACAAGGGAAGAGATTGACAGAAGGCAGGGAAGACGGGAGAGGGGGAGGGAGGAAGGAGGAAGGTGGGCAGGGAGCTTACGTGATCTCCATTGACGAGTTCGGTGTTCTCGGACTCGCGCGGCGGTGCGCTCTTGTCGGTTTCCTTGGAGGGCGAACGGAATGCCTTCTTCACCGCGTTGAACCACTTTCCTTTCTTTCCCATCCTCGCGACTCGGCTCTGAGTCCTGGAGCAGTCAGCAGCACAAGAAGGTCAGCATCGACCTCGACTCCTTCGTTCAAAGCCAAAACAACAACCATCGCCCTCGCCTCGAGCGGATCTGGCCCACGCTACGAGAACGCCGGGGCCCGGCGCCATTGCCATTGCCATTGCCAATGCTAATGCCAAGCCCAGGCGATGAGGAGAGAAGATCTGAAAGGGACGACGGTGATGGTACCTGCGAAAATTGACGAGCTTGCCAAAACTTCACGGGGGCGTGGGCCTTGAGGGGAGAGCGGAGCCAGCTTGGCTGGCCGAGATTCAGGGGAAAAAAGTTCGCGTCGAGGGCTTACAGGAGCCTGACCTCGTATCAGTCATTCGAGTGACTCTCCACCAGCTTCACACGCCAAGACTCGACAGGCATTGGAAGCGAGCGCGCAAACGCTTCGAGCGCCCAGATCCGTTTGCAATTGCAGTGCACGAAGCTTGACTGTCGAGAACCAAGCCCTTTGCGACAAGCGGTCGGTCGGTGCTGGGAGTGATAATGTATCGAGCACGAGCGACGAAAATCTCGACACTCAATTGATGGTAGTCTACGAAGAACTGACACTCGACTCAAGAATCAGACAGGCAGTCGAGTCGATGACACGAGAGACGAACTACAGAAGCTAGCGGGCGAGCGAGCGAGCGACGGGAAGCACGAGAGAGCAGAATGCAATGCGCGTCAACTGGCAGAAACTAGCACAATTCCTGGCTCCAATGCCAGCCCGAGAACGCAAGCCGGACCTCGGCTAGCCAACGCTTGCACCGGCAGAGGAAGAGTGGATCGACCATCCTTCCTCCTCCTTCCTTCTTTCCTTCCTTCCCTCCCTTCGCTTCGTCTCTCGCACGACTTCTACTTCCTCCCTTCCCTTCCCTTCCTTCCTTCCTTGCTTGCTTGCTTGCTTGCTCCTCTGCTTCGTGGCTAGTCCTGCCCGCGAGACACGAATAGCGAAACTGAGCTCGGCCGAGCCCAGAGTCCGAGTAGATGGGCACCAACAGCTGCAGCCCAGCCCAGCCCGGCTCCCGCAGCAACAGCAGTAGCAGCACCGAGACCGAGCTGTTCTGCGCTGATCCTACTGCTCTCTCTCGCCCAGTGGGGCCTGTCTTCATCACCTACACTCTAGCCCTGCAACTCCCCTCCCCTCCCCTGCCCTGCCCTGCCCCGCCCTGCCCGTGGGTCCCCCCCCTCCTCTTCCCCGTTCCCCGTTCCCCTTCCCCTCAGACAGCCAGGCCAGTCCACCATCACCACCACCACCTCCTCCAGGCTCCCGGCCCCCGGCACCTTCAGAAGCTGCAGCGATGCAGCACCCCCGCCAGACAGCCAGCCCAGCCACCAGCAGCAAGCGAAGCAGAGCAGATCAGATCAGAGCAAGAGAGAGAGAGAGAGCAATTCGAGCAGGCGAAATTTCCTTCTCCCCCAGCAGCAGCAGCAGCAGCACTCGCTAGCTCAGAGTGCAGGCCCTTGCTACCGTTGCCCTCTAGAATTCTCGAGTGCCGCTTTCGTCACGATGTTGCACCGTTGCTCTCGAGGCAGAGTCCTCGAGCCGATGTGGAAGGGAAGGGAGGGGGTGGGCAGCGGGCAGCACCGCCATTTTGCAGCATGAACAATCTATCTTGGGGCCGGGTCAGGGCCACAGTTTGGCAGTCCCTTAAAATAGCCGACGGTGCTATTTTTCTCCGGTTCCTGACAGTGTTGGACACCGGTTGCAGGGGTGGCTGACGGTCCGATGGATAATTGGATGGACGGGAATTTTCTCCCCCCCCCCCGATGCTGGGGATTATCCCCGGGTCTCTCCCCGGGCTAGCCTGGCGGGCGGGCGGGCGGGCAGTCAGCTAGCAAAGAGTCAAACGTACGCTTTGCTTTGCTTTGCTTTGCCCTGCAGAGTGCAGAGGGCGAGCCTTCATCTTTGGCCGAGGGAGATATTTTGGAGCCACCTGGAGAACACTAAGATGAAAAGATTATGGCCTAGCGCACGAGTACTTTGCTACTCCTCTCGGGTACGCTCGTCGTCCATGAAAAGAAGACAGACGGAGGTCGAGAGACGGCCTCTGCAAGCAGCAGTTGAGGAAGACGAGTTGCTTTGTGCTTGGCCTTCTCAGCGCATGCATTGGGCTTCGGGACCCACCGTGGACAGAAACCCACGATCGTGCTTGTCAAGTCCTCCTCCTTTGACCCCTCGGCCCAGAAAGAAGCTTGCCTCTGGGCCGACGGGTTGTGATTACATCTGCACCTACTTAATGCTCCCCTTGCGAGGACAGCCTTTGTCTACAGCAGGGAATTCCATCGTAAGGTAGAAAATACATGCGAATAGGCCAGTCCAGTCGACCATGTCTGCAACAAATCGGGTACTATGGGGGCTAGGGCCCATAGCATCGCCATCGGAAAATATGGACTATGTCATAATTTCTACAAATTGCATGAGCATCACCTAACGGGACTACTAAGCTATAACTTGCACCAACCACTGCTGGCCATATCGATTGATACACGCTTCCGAATATAAAGTACATAACGAAATTAATTCCCTTGTAGAGCAGTTATATAGAGCTATGGAACTGCAACCATAACTCTATATAACTCTAACACTTACTTATCGATGTTTAATCTCAAGTTGGAGCTGGTGTTGCTCTGCTCGCTATCCATTTAGAGGATAAATAATCATCACTCGAAACATGTGTTACTTCCTGAAAGTCTCCAATTCTAACTTGTCCTCCTGATACCATCTTGAACTGTTGATTCCAAAGACTAAGTTAATTTCTTGAATCAAGTATAAATATGTTCTTATTACTCATCAAAGACGGTCATGAGACTCTCATTGAATATTTTCAGGCAAAGTATAATGCTTGTGAAAGAGAATATCTACAGATTACATGAAGGAGGAACTTTGTGAAATAGCTAGGTAATCAAATCAACAAGCAAATCTTATGGATAGTATATCAAACTCTCTACGTGTATATGAATTCTCTATCCTCTGGAAGACGATGTTTATCGTTGGCAAGTGCCATGTGTAGGTAGTTTGATGCAATGTTTTTCATTCACTATCGGCACCCCAAAGATGTAAGTTGTAGCTGATGTTATGCATACTTCTTAAAACTAGTGATAAAGAAGAATGTCCAAAAAGCTGATGTTGGTATATATTGACTCCATGATTTCCAAGCGTACAAGATTAAACATGGTTATCACTACTCATGTCATTTACACGGTTCAAAATGTGTAAATTATTTTCAAAAGAATGCGTCATGTTATTATGTCATGCTAGCGTTTTAAAACTTGAAACACTATCAAAAAAAGTTTTTAAACCCATATACAAAAAAATTCGATTTTGTGAAAAATACTACAATTTTCCGGGATGGTTATTTAAGAATATGCTGTGTCCATATGTATTGCATCACAATCTGATAATTGGCAACTCCAAAAGAATACTGAAGGTGAACATGATGCTCAACCACTTTTGCACAACTAAGACGATGTAACAAACATTTCCCATTCGAATTTGATATACTGCATTGCATTATTTCTTTTCTAAAGGAGCAGACCAGCAATAGATACTCAATAATATAGACATCATTATCAAAATATCAACTCTAAAACACTCATGTCTTTCTCCTTTTGGGAATTAAAACCTTTCAACTAGATGAAATAGAATAAAAAAGAAAACTTAGAGAGTTCTCAATTGAAACCATCTCGAAATTGGAAGAAAGTCACTTGAATTTTTCAAAACAAGAAAAATCCTTAAAATAGCTTTATACAAATAGCTATAGTTACAAACGGAACCTGAAATAAAACTTGAAAACAACATGAGAAACTACTCACATCTTTTTAAGCTAATAATGTTGCTCCCCTGAACCTTATTATTAAGACCTTGCTATTACATGAAATAGGATACATGTATTATCATGTTTATCATGAAAATTGACTCCCTTACCACATATATCACTATGATCTATCCCGTTAGAAAAAAAATAACAATTAGATATTTATGTGCGACTCGTTGACCAAGCCAACTTCGAAGTCCGACACTACGCCTGGTCTCGCTAGAGGCAGTGCTGCCCTGTTCTCACCTATATAAAATTAGCCATGATATTGAAGCTGACTAAGATCAACTTGAGTACCTGTGTTTAAATTTATCTGATGCGAGATATCCTTGACACACCAAAACCATCATAAGGAAAAAAATATAGAATTTGGTGTAATACAGCTAGATCCCTAAACTCAAACTGAGAAAGATTTACAAGACCAATATTTTTTATTTCCTTCCATCTATTCATCCTCCTCATCACTCAAAAGTACTCGGGATTTCGCTGAAATCTAAGTCCATACCATCGAGTTGATGTGGCGTGAACGTATGTATCCTGACTGCCCTTTTTGTGTACCCACTCAAGATCCCGTGAGAACAGACTCGAGTCCTAGTAGTAAACTGGGCCTAAGAAGGTATTTATCTACTTAGAAGTCTCTGGCTGGAAATTTCGAGTTGTTTGTCGGACTCCTCTCCAATTACTTCTATATGTTCGATGAGAATTTTTTAATTTGGAAAAATCTTGTCCATAAAAATGCTAAAGAAGGAATTTTATTATGTCGATGTACTACTACACGTTACTGCATGTATTATTCGACTGTCTTTTTCATCTCAGAGACCTGATAAGTAACTGCCTTCTTTGCAGGCTCACTTGTCTGTAATATTCATGATCAATTTGAGTACCAATGATAAAAAAATTCCCTTATCTCTTCGAAGGAGAAAATTATGGAGCGAAGATGTACACCTCCAATTAAAAGGAGGAAGGTATACATCAAACTCAGTAGCTGCTTTTAGACTTGTGAATTTTATGTTTAGAACCACGCATGTTTCAATTTTATACTTCACTCGATGGTCAACGATAAAAATGTGATCATCAATATGTCTACAAATATTGTACTTGATATCTCGCGGGTACTGCTGAGAATACACGGGCTTTGAATGTCTTGTACTTCGAATCGTTGTACCTGGGCACGTCAATAGACAGCGGATGCAAACAAAGAATATGCTCGGTATAGAAGGTTTCTTCCTTCATACTTAGTGTCAATATAAGAATTACAGTAGTCGACTGCAAAAATATGGTACATACGAAAAGTAATCAGCAGCAATGAGGACCATTTTATCAGTCAACAAGCATTGAAAAGCTCACTGTCAAGCACAAGCTTAACCTTATTGGAGACTTGATCTCCACTTTAAACACGCTGCCCTCTCGTAGTGGTCGCTCCAAGCAGTTTCAAGATGCCTCCTACGTGCTCACTGGGTCCTCCGTCAATGCAATCAAGCCACTCACTAGAGTCTAGTAAGATATAAACAGAAAATAGGATTTGAGACTCGGAGCTTGGAACTGAGCTGGAGTTTCGTAGACAAGGTTTAGATGATAGATGGAGTATCTGTTCTCAGAGTTGACGAGCGATTAGCTCGAAATCTCGAAAAGATGGTTGGAACAAAAGTCGTGTCTAGACGAATGTCGGGTGCGTGTCGAGTTTTAGTCAACCGATAGAAGAAATGAGGAACGAGCTGAACTAGAAAGAACATAAAGCGTTGAAGATACGTGATTAGAGGATGAGGGCTATGATGGACCCCACTGTCGTCGAGCTCTCCCTTGCATCATCATCACGTACGTAAGGTATGGTCTACCTTTATTAGCCTTGGACCTCGGACGTTAGATCCAGAATCATCTTCCCTTCGTTGGTTTCACTTCTTTTCCATGTTCCTGTGTGCCTCTCCTCACTCCTCGCGCATGGTACCACCGCAGTACAGTACATGTAGATGTCCTCTCCGACAAGCGATTTTTGGCCTCGTTCAGAGAACGTAGGACGCGAAGTGCAACCATGGCTACGTCGCATATGGTCAGGGCGGTCTACGTTCACACCCCGTGCCTTATCAACATGCACACATGATGGTCAGTGAGTAGACACAAGCTTTGCCATACTCCCTCACTACATGGGTTGACTGACGGTGCCGTTCTCACAAGATCCATAATCGTTGTGAAACTCATCACATGTGAATGTATTATTTCCTGGGATATAGTTTTCAACCAGCACTTGACGCGT